GGGATTTTGAGCATTTCTTCATGTGCTTGTTAGCCATCTGAATGTTGTCTTCGGTGAAGTGCCTGTTCATATCCTGTGACCATTTTTCTATTGGATTATTTACCTTTATCTTGTTGTGGTGTAATCTTATATTCTTATACTTGAATGCATATATAGCTATTTTATATAGAGTCATACTTCATCAATTATTTTTTACCTTTCTTTTGTAATTTAATAACATTGCAATCATTTCATTAAACATAAACTATATTTGCTATCTTATTAAACAGTCTTCATCAGTGTTAATCACTGTATATAACATTATTGCATAATGTAGCCTATTATTTCCCTGTAGTTTATTATCTAGATTATTTTAATTTTTTAACATCCTAAAACAGTACTGAATTGACTAGCACAGAAGAATTTTATGAAACAACATATAAGCAAGAGCTTGTGGTAATGAAGAAAGGAGATGAAGCTGCTCTGAAAGAATTAGCAAAAAAACCAAGGAGTTGACAGCATACCAATTGACATATTTCAACAAACAGATGCTGCCCTGGATGCACTCACCAAGTTGGGCCAAGAAATCTGGAGGACAACTATGTGGCCTACTGATTGGAAGAGATCTATATTTGTTCCATTCCAAAGAAAGGTGATCCAACAAAGCATGGAAAATATCAACAATATCCTGAATATCACATGTAAGCAAGATTCTACTGAAAATTATCCAAAAACAACTGGAAGAGCACATCAACAGAGAACTGCCAGAGGTATAGGCTGGGTTTAGAAGAGGCCGTGGTACTAGGGATATCATAGCTAATGTTAGATGGATCTTGACGGAAAGCAGAGAGTACTGAAAGAATGTCTATCTGTTTCATTGACTATGCAACAACGTTTGACTGGATCACAACAAACTGTGGCTAACTCTGAGAAAAATGGGAATCACAGAACACTTGATCATGCTTACGAGAAACCTATATATTTGGACCAAGAGGCAGTCATAACAAAGCAAGGAAGCATTGCATGGTTCAAAATTGAGAAGGGTGTATGCTGGGGATGATTCCTATCTCTATATCTTTTCAATCTATATGCAAAACAGATCATCCAGGAGGCTGGGCTCAGTAAGGAGGAGTGTGATATCAGGATTGGAGGAAGACTTATCAATAGCCTGTTATGCAGATGACACAACCCTGCTCGCTGAAACTCAGGAGGACCTGAAGCAGTTGCTGCAGAAGATCAAGGACTGAGCCTTCAATATGTATTGAAGCCCAACATCAAGAAAACAAAGATTCTCAACACTTTGGCCAATTGGTAGCATCATGATTGTTGGTGAAGAGATTGAGGTTGTTGACAGCTTTAGTTTGCTTGGCTCCACAATCAACACTCTTGGTACAAGCAGCCAGAAAAATCAAAAGACAAATTCCACTGGGGAAAGTCTGCTGTCAGGGACCTCTCTAGACTATTGGAGAGCAACTACGTCATTTTGGAGATGAAAGTGCACCTGATCCAGGCCATAGTCTTGGCAGTTACTTGCTATACATCAGAAAGCTGGACAATGACTAGGGATGATAGAAAGAGAAATGAAGCCTTTGAGCTGTGGTGCTGGAGAAGAGTGTTGAATATACCACAGACAGCCAGGAGTACAAACAGGTTCAACCTGGAGAAGATGAAACCAAGACTGCTCCTTGGAGGCAAGAATTCTGAGGCTTCATCTGACATACTTTAGGCATGTTGCAAGGAGGGACCAGTCCTTGGAGAGGAACATGATGTTTGGAAGTGTGGAGGGTCAGGACAGGAGAGGAAGACCCTTGAAGAGATCAATTGATTCAATGACTGGGGAAATGGTTGTAGGTGTGTCAAAGACAATAAGATGGGCACAGGGTAGGGCAAAGTTCAGAGCTGTTGTACATCGGGTATCTATGAGTCAGAAGCATCTCAAAGGCACATAACAACAACAAACAATACTGAGAGAGCTCTGGTGGCAAAGACCACAGGGATTTGTGGTGCTATCCCAAAGGCGGTGCCTTCCTAACAGCTCAAACCCACCAGAGATTAGAACTTTCAAAGAAAGATGGGCAGTTTCCTGCTATATGGTTTACAGTTTCAGAAACCTGTTGGAAGGTCAGCTCTGGGTCCATTTAAAGGAGATGCAATGAGTTTTGAGTTTCAGTCAATACTATAATACATATTCCTAATGGTTAAATCTTTGTGCACATCCTTGCTTTCTTTGACTCAAGCAATTCTGAGAAATGCAGTTGTGGAGGACAAGACTATGCACTTTTTCAGTTCCTAGAGGCAGAGAACAAAAAGGCTGTGCTCATCTTCAGACCACACCTAAAGAGCAAGAGGAGGCCTGCCAGAGCAAGAGAAGTCCTGCGAGCCTGCAAATCCTTATTCATTAAACTTAAAAATAGATCCAAATAACTGTCCAGACTTGATTTTTGCCAAGATCTTTCTCTGCTGCTTTTCCAGACCCCAGAGCTTCTCCATGTCCCAAAAGCTCCTTCTGTTCCCAGGCCCAGTCCTGGTACCTTATCCTAAGAGAACCATTGAGGACAAAAAGGACAGAAAGCCTTTTTATTTAGATGAAGAGGCTCCCGTTCAACATGGTCAGAACAGCAGGGTCCAAAGGAACATGCAGATACCAGTAATATAGGGAGGGCTATTAGGGAAAAAAAACACCTATTTACAGATAAGTGCATGTCAGGCACTTCATCAATATTTTAATGGGCAATATCTCACTCTAATCACACAATGACACTATAAAGAGAGTCCAATGACAGTATTTCATCCATATTAAGATGTACTTCTAAGATATGAGCCATTTCTAAAATATAAGATAGGAAAGCAGAGAATCTTATTTAACTGACAGCCATTTAGTTTTTATTTTATTTCTTAGAGTTGGATGGCCAGGGCGATAGCATCAATCCTTTACTCGTTGCCATCAACTCATAACTGGTCCTCCACTGAGTTTGTAAGGCTGTAAAACCACACAGGTAGAGATTGCCCATCTTTTCTGGTGGAGCTGCTGGTGTGTTTGAACCATTAGAGAGATGTGGCC